GAGGACTGTGTTTAGAGTCCTTACAGTTATGATTGTAGAAAGTAAGTGTAAAAGTGAAGGAGGCTTGAGACTGAAAAGGCTAAGAAGAGGCATTTTTCAGAATAGTCAGAGTACTGTACCATTGACAGTCGGCGCAGCCTCACTGGTGCTCACAGTACTCTTTTGAATTGAGGTTGTTGGATCCTGAGCTCCTGACACTGTGGGAGGGAAAAAAAAAAAAAGGCACATTTTAATCACCAAAAAAACCCCAAGTCAGATGAAACCTCACAGCGACGGCCTCGCTACAGTCCACTTTACGGCAAGAACAAAGCGCCGTCTTGTTTATGCCAGCGATTTTCCCAAACAATGCCGTGATGTATTCCTGGCAGGGGCCAGACTTCAGAATGTGTCTGGCCATGCAGGAGGAGAGAGGCCTGCAGATGCACTGAGTATGTCACAGTAATAGTGCTGTGAGTGGGGCTGCGAGGCAACCTCTGACTACAACAGAGCCGGATTGTTGCGCGAGACTACAGGACAGAAGGCCCGTTGTCTGTTTACTCACTCAGCACCTTCCAATTAGTGCCGCAGCTCCACAAAACCTCCGCTTTCCTGAACTAATGCTGTGATTCCAACGACTTTAATGAACCCATATGAGGGCAGTTGATTAAGGCGGTAATGATTTAGAGCTGACTCCTGTATTGATGTGTCAGATACACAGTGTGGACGTGAAAAACCTTTATTTTATTTGTAGTGTAAAAATGATCTTCACAGCTTAAGTTCTTAGATGTTTGTTAGAATTTGGATGCTAAATAAGATGCGTTACAACTTTACGGTGTAAACCTAGAATGACATCATCACACTCGTGTACATTGAATGACTTTGCTCTCAAATGCCTTTATTTGAAAATTTCAGCAGTTAAAAGTGCAAGAATCAAATTTATAATAACGAGGATGACTGCTCAGCCTCTGTAAACACTTCCATAGCTTTAGGGGAGTTTTGAGAAGTGCAGCTAAAACTTCTTAACAATCTTTTTTTTTTAAACCTTTTTGACGTGGCCTATCGAATGGCTGCATCTGTTGCTGATCCCCAGGCTGCAGCTTGAAGCCACGAAATGTGACTTTTGAAACAGGAAACACATTCTTCCTCTTCCAAATGAAACCGCAGACGATTAGGCAATTAAACACTCCTCTACCAATACAGTGTGAACTGTAGCTTATGGTGGCTAATGCTAAAAAAAATCCTTGTAGGTATTGCTGTAGAACATTACTGAGCCAGTTTGTTGAATTTCTAGGCCTTCACTACCTTCACTGCCCCTCATATATTCAAGTCTGATGAGTAACCAGGGGTTTCTGCCTAGAATGTAATATCAAAAGCGCTAATCCCTGTTTTAATATTAAATACAGAATACTCTTATACCTATCTGGATTTTTTTTTTTTAATCCAATATCAAATAAAACATGTCCATAATCTAATATATCCAGGTTGGCGGTGGACTGCTATCCCTGGTTTGATTTGGAAACTTGGGACAACAGGCTGAAATCTTAATCATTCAGTGGATCTTTCTTCATCTAGATGATTAGAAAAGTCTTTGCTGATTGTGGACGTTTTTACGAGGCATGAACTGTAAAAGCCACATTTTTTATTAGCATTTATATCTCAGCACACGCATGTCTCGTCATTGTGATTTGCGAGCAAAGTGATTCAAAGTCACATCTGAACTCACTTCACACGTGATTTCGCTGTGAGTCATGTCAGCACCAGTGGAAATTTTTTCAGCCACTCACCTTTTACCAGAGCAAACAGGAAGAAGAATGACGCCAAACAAATCTGAAAGAAACAAATAAGAAGAGGTCACGCCACGACGCGGGGTTGCCTCACAACTGTTGCTACAACATCGATACAACCTCTAATATCTCTCAGCTAGCACAGATGATTCTATTAATGGTGACTGATCGTACATGCAGTACAGTATGCAGAGCAGAAAGAGCACATCCAAACAAAACGCCTGCTCACTTTTCCACAGAAAAAAAAAAACAGAAAACAACCAGTTTGAGGGTCTCTTCAGTCATGAATGATCATATAATTGTTTTCGCCAGAGCGTTAGTACACTCGCTGACACGTTAATGGATCAGAAATGGATGATTGAAGCAATGCGGAATTGACTCTGGAACATATTGTGCAGCACGACTCCGGCAGGAACAGGAAGATGTACTCACTGAGGTTTAACACCACATGGCCACTTCTCCTTCCTCCTATAGCAAACGGCGGCATCACCCACACGCCTCACGCGGCACGACAGAACCCAGATTCGTACTTTGAGTGCCAAACTTTATAGGAGACGTTATTTTATTTTTTTCAAAAAAATGAGTGATTGAGGCCACATATTGTGTGTGCAGTCCTCCCACGCATGTCTGTGCTGAACTTTGTGGCACTATAGATCTAACTTCATCATATTTTGTTAGCTGTCACCAATTAAAAAAATGGCATTGGAGGATGTGTCAAAACAACTCTTTTTTTAACATAATGGAAATCCTGCACCGCCGAACGGCAATCTCAGAATCAGCAGAGAAAAAAAACATACTTCTTCCTCCCCCTCAACATATTGCTCATAGCTGGAAACAAAACACTATAGAAAAAACAGACGTAGGGAATAAAAACTGCCCCTTGTTGTGTGATTTTAAAGCAATACAGAGAACAACAACAACAACAGGTACGACAGAGGCAGGTGGGGTTGACGGATGAGGAGTCTGGGGCAGGGATTCGGTTTGAATCCAACCCCCAGCAGAAAATGAATCTCGATCTTTGACCTATCCTGGTGGCAGCTCATCCTCCGGGGGGCTGAGAACGGCGTGACAGGTGAGCGTTTGTGGTCGTCATGAGCTTTGACAGTTCAGATTAGCAGGTCATGCCAATCTTCATTTCACTCCAGAGCATATGTCAAGATGAGGCCTGTTTCCCTTGGGCTGTACAGGCGTCTCTCCCCTTCCCCTAGCCTGACCCGCCTGCCTGTTTGTCACATCCAGCACTCTCCCTCGCTCTCCGTTTGTCTGTTCATCCATTTGTCTGTCATCCTCCATCAATCTCCTCTCAGTCTGCCGCGACCAGAACAGCCCTCAGCCCCGGAATATTTAGTCTTTCATCCGGGCTATTATTGCTTACCTTAGTATCCATCCTGTGAGGTGCCCGAGTCCAGAGATTTATCCGCAGCCTCATCATCCACAATCCTCTCCTCCGTCTGTCACCGCTGAAAGGCTGATGAACAAACTGCTAACCAACCACACCCATGTGCTCACCGCCACTACTTCCTCATCCAGCCGCCTGAACTCTGTTTCAGTCTTTCGTTCTCTCTCTTCGCCCACTCTTCCTCATGACATGGCCTCCTCCTTCTTGTTCCACCAGTCGTTCGCTCTGTCTTTGCTGAGATCTCTGTCTGCAGCTCAGGCATCTCTCGGGATGTTGGCTTCTCCTACTTTATCCACCTTTCCCCCATGCCGATGCATCTTTGTGCAGCTCCGTCTGAATGACCTTGCGAAGAGAGATTGTTGGTGTGTTTACATTCGCTCAGACTTGCAGCACACGCAGGAGAGAGCTTCTTGTTATTGATGCAAGATTTGTATTAAATATTCTTCCTTGAACATACTAGAGTGTTTATGAAATCATTGTGACTCTCCAGCGCTTAATCTATTATTCACTTTAAATACCAACCTTTTCAAAAGAAGCAGTGCTGTGTACAATCTGAGTTCTCTTTATTTCGCGAGAAGTTTTCTTACAAATGGAGTTTATACAAAACCTCATTAAAAGGTCAGAGTCAAAGTTAAAGCACACTTAACTCCGTTACACATTGCCATCATCAATCATGATGAACTGAAGGTATAAGAAATTGCCATTGCCAACCTCTTGAATGAATGCTTCTTTTATTATTTTTTTTCTTCTTCTTCACAGATTTTCTTTTTTAGCTTTCGCTTCAAGGCTTTAAGAATCGAGGCTGTGATTGTGACGCAATCGCATTACCAAACCGAGAAGTACAAACTTAGCCTGTTACAGCAGACAAAGCTCGCGATTCATCCGCCCTCGCTGAGGACAGGCTTTGTCCACAGTGTTTGAGATGCTTTAAGATCGGCTTGTGTCACATGTCAGGGTTCGTTTTCTGAAGAAACTATTAACATTTACATACTATCCTTCATGGACACTGTATGAATGTCCTCCTTAGTAGGATTCTCAGTTTTTTTCAGATAGAAAATATGAACAAATTGTTGACCTATGGGGCTGCAGGGTGGTGCAGTTGG